TACTGAATGATCGTTGACTGAAAGTGCGTGAGCTAGCAGACTTAGTAGGCATTTCAAAAAGTGCGGTACATCATATATTATCTGAAAATTTGGACATGAGAAAGCTGAGAAAGCTCCACTAAAAACAGTGTCGTGAAGATATTTCAATTGAGTGTTCAGCGAAGTTTCACAGCAACAAAGTAGAATTCTTGCGTTGTTTCATAATCATAAATGAAACATGCGTCCATCACTTTACACCCGAGACAAAAAAAAACAATCAATAGAGTGGACTCTAAAGGGAGAACCGGTTACAAAGAAGGCGAAGACCGTTTGATCTGCAGGCAAGGCCATGGCATCGGTTTTTGGGATGCGCGTACGATAATTTTCATTGGCTATCTTGAAAAATGTAAAACCATCAACGTTATAGTGGAGAAATCAGTGTTATTGTTTCATCAAGACAATGCACCAGCTCACAAATAAAAATAAAAAATAAAAAAAATCAAAATAATTTATTCGCACTGGCTACATAGCAGCCATCCTTAGGATAGATGTACACGTCAAATACTGTTACATTAAACAAAATATAATAAAACAAAATATAACAAAATATAATGAAATATCACAAACACTAATTGTTCCAAAGAACAGACAAACATGTGTAACTCTCAGACAAGTAAATAAAAAATCATCATTCAGGAATTCACTGATGGAGTAATAGGTTTTTGCACACAGAAATGTTTCAATTTATTTTTAAATTTTTTATGGTCCAGTTTTTTGAGATGTTGTGGAAGTTTATTAAATATCCTTATACCTGAGTAGTGTGGAGATGTTTCAAATGTCTTCAAATTATGCTTTGTAACTGAAAGTGCATCCGCGTTTCTTGTAGGATATGAATGGTAATCCGAGTTTTTTTGTGAATTTATTAATATGTTGCTTTACATATATTGATAATTTATATAGATAAATACAGGGAAATGTTAGAATATTATACTTTGAAAAAGCGGCTTTACAGCTGTTTCTATTTTTTATATTAAAAATGAGACGGATAATTCGTTTTTGACAAATGAACGCTCTTCCAGAATTTACACAATCTCCCCTATAAAATAACATTATATGCCAAATGGTAGTATATCAATGCATAGTTGGTATCAATCCATTATCGCAATGACCAAAATTAACGAATTAAAGTATAAATTGCTACTTCATGCAGCCTATTTGCCAGATTTAGTCCCCCCTTGGAGTACTTTCTGTTCCTAAACTTGGAACAGTGGTCATAGATTTTCCAACGATGAAGAAGTGATATCGGCAGTTGATGGCTATTTTGAGGAGCTCGACAGTTCTTCGTATAAAAACGGTAACAAATTTTTTTAACGTCGCTGGGAAAAGTGTAAAGAACTACAAGGAGATTATGTTGATGAATAAATACAATTTTTTTCCAAAATTTTTGTTTCTTTTGTTGGGCCGGATAAAATAAAGCTGTTCATCTTATATGTGACCGTTCATTGACAACGACCATACATTTCAGTAGTTGTCAGAACACTTGAGAGTATTTCAGATTTTTACAGATACTTTCAATTGAATCTGATGCTATTCAGATTTTTCGCTTGAGAAAGAACCTCACAACTACCTCCAAAACTTGAGCTTATAACCTTTGTCCCATCTTGCAATGTTATTTAACCCGTTGCCGTTTATTTCCTCTTCAATTTGAAACTCTCCATTTCTAATCAAACAATATTTCCGTGATACAAAAAAATTTGCTTTTACTATTATACCTCTTACTCTCTAAAATCAAATCGATAACAAAAACGGGTTAACCACTTCATCATAGTAGGTAATAAAATTCAACATTCATATTGTAAATCAATTACTCAATCCGCTCACTTTATCTGAAAACCATATTTATTGCAATTAATTCACTGACAGTTATAATGCTTCAACGAAGAAGTTCAGGATTTTGAAAACCAGATTTTTAATGGAAGTTGATATTTTGAGAATGACATACAATTTGTAAATTACCCCTGATAATAATTATAACTTGTTCAATTGATGAGGGCTTCATCAGTTACTTGTAGCTGATGTTACTGATGAAGTTATCGTATAGCGAAACGCGTATTAAATAAAATTATTTGTGAAAATTCTATGATTTTCATCATGGTTATTATTAATTTTCATCAAGTAACGGGTCAGAGTCACAATCTGTAAATCATTTGTTATTTTCGTAAGTAGGCGTTAAGTTTATTCAATAAATGGTATTTTTTCATAAAAAAAGCATATTGTTGATGAATATTGTATCAATGCATATACGAGCATACCGGAAAAAATTGCTTTTATGAATCAAAAACCCAAAAACGTGGAATTGAAGTGACTGTTTTTAAATTCCAAATATACCACAAAACATTTTAGATCAGATATGATATTTCGTTGACAAAAACTTTTAGCAGTGGAGGGTCAGTTATGTGTTTTATCTGACCAATTATGCCATTGCTATTCTTCTCTCAAAGCAGGTGTAAATTGTGGAAAAATTCACTATAGGCTGGGAGTTGATATTTCAGTTTGGACAAAAATTACAGGAGGTGAGAGGTGATTTTAGTGCAAAGCCACGAAAGTGAACTTCATTCAGAGACACGCCAAGAGGAGGCAAGTCATAAGTGAACTTTATGGATTTGAGGACATGAGCTGCACAAATAAGAGGATGCTGAAGTGTGAATTAGGTGAATTAGTATCATAGATATGTCAAATAGTAAGTCAATCAATCAAAAATAGATGTAAAAGATTGTGAATAACTTTCTTTTCAGTTACTAGTTCAGTACATAAAAAATTTTCTTTACTCATCAATCTCAAAATATCGAACTAGATTTTTGAGAAGGAAATGATCTGAATATTGTAATGAAACCTAAAGCTTCATCTATTTGATATCGGAGTTTGAAACCTGTGTCTAGTGAAAAATAACTTATTTTCCATTTCCACAATTGTTCATAATTAGTAACAGAGTATGTAACAGAAACTACACACAAATGTTTTTCATTTTACATCTTGTTTTACCGTGATCATGTTAATGACATTGGCAGAAATAGATCTCAATCTCGATTTCTATTCAATATTTTCCAAGAGATTTGTTTTGAGACGTTATGTTATTGTTTATCGAAACAATTCTTGGAAATCTTTAAATAAATTTCCACACGTTACTACGAATATGAAGGTTTGTTAAAATCATACAAATTATACCTAAAAACTATGAAAAATGGAAGGATGAGCCGGAATGCAGTTGTCCAAAGTGTTGAAAAAATAGAAAATATGCAAAAATACAATTACACAAATTCAGTTTTACGTGCTTCATGTTGCAAATGGAGAGAATAGCACAACATGTTTCAGATATTTTCCATCCAAAATCTTTTATTTTTATTTGGTTCCACCAAATTTTCATTTCAATGTTCGATATTATTTGTGTCATATGGAATTATTACGTTTTGGCAATACTGAATATTGAGGAAAAACTGCATTGGAATAATCACCTCGACAAGTGTTTCGATCATCAAGTGATCATCTTCAACAGATGATCGAAACACGTGTCGCGGCGATAAAATAACGGTTTGGTGCTGGAAAAAACTCCAGTAATATTCATAAAATGAAGAAACTAAACTATTCTAGAAATATTTCCATATTAATGGATAACAAATATATGAATATTTATTTGTTTGATGAAAATTTTTAAAAAAGTGCCCGTTTTCACTTTCTTCACTATTCGTGGTAGATTTACATCAATTTCCTTATAGAAATGTTCTACGATCTGATGAGAAATAAAATATGAATAGGTGCAATACAAGATAGTCAGAGTTGTCTGAAAATCCGAACTAAACGTGTGATACATAACTGTATTCAAAAAAAAATTGTTTGACAAAAATGTAATGAAAAACTAACCTCTCCTGAAAATGTTTTTTTTCCAATTCAGGTCCGTATTTGAAGTAAGAATATGATGATTACCTAGAGAATACTAAACGTTGAAATAAAAAATAGATAATGTTAAAACAAAGAAAACGTATTTAAGAATGAATATATATATATTTTTGAAAAAATTCTTTTGATAAAATTCAATTACTACCTATTTCCGGAACCGTTTTCTATATCGTTTTTGACACCAGGTGCAGGGCTTACCGCGAAGCGTCTGACATTCATATACTTGCTGTCAGAATATCTGGCATTTGCTGTCTCAGCATATTTCCATCGACATATTGGGGCCCTAAGAGTGTCCTATTTCCACCTTCGGATCTTCTACGGTATTGAAAATACACCGGTGTTGCCTCTCTCAAGAAAGTATTGAATCCGTTGCAGGGAATAAGCCTGAAGTAAGCCTCTTTGTAAACACCTCTTTCCGAGTGAGGTGCCTATTACCCAAAAAGTCAAGGAAAAATGAATGATATATCAGTTATTTTGATAGTTGGGATCCATGGTGGAATGATGCCTTTCCTACTCTGGAATATGAAGATCATACAGGTTTGCCGTAATACGGCAAAAATCTTGACTGAAAAATTTCAGTAGGCTGTCATCCCTGGCTCATTGCGGGCACATGATTTTCGGATACAATGAAAACTCATCTCACGTTGTGGGGAGTGGTCATTGACCAGTTCTCCAAATATATTGGAAAGTCGAAAGAAAGCTCGACCGAAACTATCTTTTCGGGACAAAAATATTAATGATTTTTGTTCAACATAACGGAACGGTATATGACTACCTAAAATCACATTGTGTAAAATATTCAATAAAAAATGTATGAAATCATTTCACTTTAAGAAATGATGATATTTTGTTCACATGAAAAACTTTAAAGGATTTTTTACGGAATTATATCTCTTTATTACAAAAATATCTATTTATCCTACAGAAGGTTGTTATCTTTTTTTTCTCGTACGTGCCGATTCAGAAAAAATTGTTTCATATCACCAACCGAAAAAACAAGAAAAATCCACAACAAATTGAATATTCCAGCACCACGCGACACCACACGCAAGGTGAAGGTTACTCACCTGCATCGCATTCAGCATCGTGCCGGCTCCACCTTGAACTGAGAACTATCACAAACTAAATTCCTAGAGTGTAACCACAGAGCGTGAACGGAGTACTTGCAATAACGGCAGTGGACGCCTTCTCCGGGGAGATGTACTCTCTTCGACTGATCTCTTTTAGAAATGTATCAGAATTTCATTCGAATCCTTACACAAGTCCTTTCACCTGCCCAGCCCAACGCTGAAACGAGAAATTTACATGCGGGGACGCGATATATGGGATGCTGCGGGTCCTGCAATTATCTGGTATGGTCTGTCATTTGGCAATTGATGTTTTTTCATAATTTCATTTTTTAAGGAATACATGGAATCTCTTTATTCATCACTTGACCGTATAATGGAGGAAATTATGAAAATTTGACGGTATCAAAATGGCAATAGGGGCAATTCAGCTGGGATGATTTCAAGTCCGGAACACTTCCGGTTAAAGCGAAAGTAGAGTTCAACTTCATTGTTTCAAATAAAACATGTCGTTTTGTTACATACTAGCAGATCCGGCGAACTCCGTAACACCAAGAATTGATAAATATTGTGTTATTGATTAGATTTTTTTGAATTTTTTATATTTTATATGTGAAGCAGAAAGTCGGGCCATATGAACACGGTCAGTGTTGCCGGGTGGTAGTAGATTTTATCTCAAAAACAGTGGGTTAATGAAAAACGGCAGATAATATAATTTTATAGGTACATACTATATACACAAACTACAGTCATTCAATATTCATTAGTAGATTTGAACTCTCAAACAGCACAACAGTAACTCGAGAGCCAGAATAGGAGATCTGCTACAAAAACACTAGACCTGGTAATACTGAACACGAATCTCCTCATGTGCGATTTATTCTTCACCTGCAGTGAATAGAGCTGCAATATTCCAAAGTCTAATTGCATTTCTGCTTTATTGTGAAAGATTTGATTTTCTTTGAATGTTTTAATAATTACTAGTTGTTACCTGCGGCTTCGCTCGCGTAGAATTTGGTTTGTCACATCGAGTTTCGTGACAGACCATTTTAAACAAATACTTACAATGTTTTTCATCAACCCAAAACTTCAGGTTTCTAACTTCAAAACTAAAGAAATTCAATATAATCTTTGAAGCCCTATTTTCTACTTTGGAAATTCCTCATTCCTTTTCTTGATGCTTATTTACGCTATACAAAGAACTAACCTGCATATTTCAAGATTCTAGGTTCAGTAGCTTTGGCTGTACGTTGATATAAGAGCGGGCAATTGCTAGTAAATTTATATATTTATTTTAAAAATACAGTAACTTAAAAATATGCCAACCTAAGTAATAAATAGCTTCAAGAATCGAATTATGTTACCTATATAGAAATTCGCAAAACTAACACAACCGTCAACAACGTCTGCCCGCATGTGTCAGCCCGCGTTCGGGTCGCGTTTTCGGCGATGGCGCTTCATTGCTTAGACCTCCCCTTTACCCCCGCGCATTGTCCACCACCGGCTCATAGTAGACGCGACCCATAATGGCTTATTGCATTGCGTTAAGTTAATCTTATCGTGATAACTTTCAAACGATTCGTCCAAATTACTGTCTTGCTGTTCAATCATAACTGAGTTTTGTTTGGGCACTAGTTTCCTTTTCAGTTGTTGTAAGAGTTCATTTTTCGATGGAGACATTCTTTCTACATCTTTGAAGTATTTTTTGGATTATTTCTTCAGAAACTTGTTTGTTTCGAAAATAATTTTCGAACAATTCATAACGACCTGCATTCACATCAAAAACAAACTCTTCTATCGCATGTATAGTTCAAGTAAACGATATAGTGCAACCTACCTTCCAACAGTTCCCCTTATTTCGTTTATATAAGTGAGTGGAAAAGTAGGGATTCAAATAACAGAGTGATGATTGAAACAAATATATATACAATCGATCGCTACAAAAACACTCCACTAACTTTCTTTGAAAGCTTCTGATAATTCCTCTTCCATATTCTCTGTTTCACTATCACTGTCGTCATTTAAATCGATAATGAATTCATTTTCACCATTACTATGGAAGTGTCCAATCTCCATACTCTTTTTCAACTAAAATTACTTTTTTAATCCTTTTCTGTCAGTCTTCTTCGGTAATATTAGAAACTTCTTCTTTAACTTGCTCTATTACCTTCTTATCAAATTTTGATAAATAATTTTTACGCCTGATGTGTTTTCAGTCCCATCTCGATGGGACTGAAAACACAAAAATAAGGGGGAAGTCTCAGTATGGTGTGTCTATACTTTTCAGCAATACTCTCAAGGGCATACACTTTTTCAAATGTTTTTGTGTGTAGAACTTCAAGTAGTTGGTTTTTGGTATAGTTATCTTCAAAATACAAATTGTTAAACATTAAAGAAACTTTGTATTTCACCTTTCCTTGAATTTTTATTCGGTACTTTGATGAGCTGTCGCGAATGATAGGAAGCGTTGTCAAGAACTATTACACTATTCGCATCCAAATTTGGAGCCAATGTGTTTTCAATCCATTCCTCAAAAATATTGGCTTCCATGTTCTTATGGTAGTCAACATTGCAGTCCTCAAGTTTTTTTCCTCATAAGTTCAAAGAATTCGGAACCCATCCTTTACTTTCTCCGCAATGATTAGTCGTGATCCTTTGTTTGCAGCCATGTTAGGCGTACATATTCTCGAACCATCAGTCCACCCTTTCGTTACTGTGTGGTGAGTGTCATACCAAGTTTCGTCCAAATAGAAAATTTGCCGTTGTTCTTGTCTTCATTTAGTTATTTGTTCTAAGTAGTTGTTACGCAATTCCACTATTCTTCTGCTTTCCATAACTGCTTAACGTTTGTTTATTATTTTAAATGTAAATTCTAGTTTCTTTTTCCAATTCTGAAGAGTTTTATCACAGCAGCTCACGTTATGGCCGGAAGTATACAATTTATTCCTTATGATTTCAATTGTAGGAATCTCATTGCTTTTGTAACAGTCGTATATTGTTTTTTTTTAATGATTTTATTAGATGAACATCGAAATATTTTCGAAATCCCGTAACAGATCGCATCTTGCGTTCATAAGGTTTGTTTTCGACTATTTTACGTACAGTTGAGAAAAGAATTTCGGTCAAATCTGATGTTGCTTGTAATATATTGTTTCCCTCGAAACCAAACTTGAGATGTAGATTCTTATATACATTGAAATATACTCTCTGTTTTTCAATATTCAAATACATCCGAATCTCATGCACTGGTATCTCTTTTTCGCATTGTTCACTAGCGCTATTAGAATCACTACACAGGAAAAAGTCTGCGTTGTTATCACCTTCGTTATTACTATTAGTACTTGTCCAAGGACGCCACATTTTGAACAGATAACAAAAATTTCAAGTAGGTATAACTACACCAATATCGAATTTCAACCCTCAAATCGCGATCAGTTCCTGAACTGAACATTGACGACACAACGGCGATACACATCCCCACATTCCATTAGTCACCGTAACATGAATTAAAATTTGATTTTATGACTCTTCAGCAATCATAAAACTAGGTTAGTAAAAATTATCCAATACGAACCGCCAATTCTTCAGTCCACGTGGACTAGTTCGTAGCGGCATTATTTCTCTGTATTGTTTTTTTTTTGTCTTTGAGTTGCCGATATCTTCAACTATTTACAATGAAGATTACTTCGACTTTACCTTACTGGTAGCAGTTGTTGATTGATGTGTATACATATTTAAGAGCTGGTTCAAAGCATCTTGAGACCTTGCTTTTTTTGTACACAATATCGTCAATCTGTTATTCCTATTCATCTGGCAATATGAAAACTTTTCGTATCATCATCATCATTTTCATATGAACATCGAAGCCATAACATTCATCATAATTCAGCTTCACTAATTTTTCTTGACAGAGAACAACAAAATTTTGTCTGCTTCAATCAACAATCAGAAATTGCTCACATTTCTTTCAAAATTTCTGATACGTATCAACTTGCCAAATTCAGTGGCCCCTTTTTTTCTGGGCGGATATCGGAGAGTGTGTTATTATCTTCTCCTCGTAATGGATGCTCTTAATCTTTAATGCTCGAACAGTTGTACTCGTCAAAAATAATATGAATTTCTTTTTTTTCATCAACTTAACATTTGAAAATGTATATCAGAACAGCTGAATATTTCTCCGGAAGTAATGAGAGAGTATGAAGGAAATAACACACATCGATAATTGTTATGTCTGACATAGGATAATCGATATGAGAGCTTCTATTTTCAAATAATTCTTGCAATATTTCCGACTTGGGTGTCTTACATGACATAGCAAAAGTGGCATTGATATTCAAGCTTTCTCTAAATCGGTATTAGACTTCTTTATACCGTACATTGATTTCAACTTTATTTTTATTGAAAAAAAAGTTAGCTATTCGAGAGGAGTAACACGCTAATGTAGAATTCCTCGAGAGATGAATAAAGAATAATTATGAAAGCCCGCATTCCAAATATCGTCTTTATTTTTGAAAATAACATCAGTTTTTTAATTGTATGAATAAATTTGGAAAACAAATTCATAGCAAATTAAAAAATTATTTTAGCCACTCATACTTGCTATCAATTTGAAATAAAAATACTGCATTCTTCCTGAACATATTGAATATTCCGAAAACCGTTGATTGTTGTGTATCCGACTTGAAAATCGGAAAACTTTTTTTGGTAGACTATCTCTGGTAATCACATTGTATATATAACTATATAGCGATTGTAGAGAAATTGCAGGTGGATTTCAGAAAATACAATATTTCTATTTACGTTATTAAGATTAATAAATTATAAATTACGGATAAACTTTATTCTTTGTCACGCTTGAGTCAACATTCCACTGCTCGACGAATCATTCATTACATTTTCTTTTTTGTGTTAAATCGAAAAATGATAAATAAGGTTATTAATGAATTACTAATCGAAAAATGATAAATAAGGGTATTCATAAATTTCTTGGGCCTCATGGGACGCTTCTGACTGGAAAATTGGAATATTTTTTGACAAACAATATTTACTACTACTACTCAAAAATGTGCAATTTTCACATTTTTTTAGTAGTTTTGGAAAAATCAGGTGAATGGTATCAATA